TTCGACTCGTTAGGTGGGCGGTAGGGGTGATCACGTTGAGCATTGTCAATCCACAGCAAAGACATGACTGCGGAGCCTCCTGCCACTTTTGTCTGCTGGCCGTGTCAAGCAACCCTGGAGCTGCGCAGTGGAAACACTTTGCATTATTGCCAGAAGAGCTAATATACGTGCAAAAAATTGCTTGACATATAATTTTACAGTAAGTAGGTAGGTGTGCATTCTGAGATGTATATGATGTACCAAAGATTTGGAACCAAGAAACCGAAGCTCCGAAACCTCAGTGGGCTCCTTCATGTGCTTTCTCTTGGCTTGCGAACTGACTTGGATTGCCGACGTCCGCGTCGTGGAGGATTTGGATGGCGCCGTGCTGAGCCGACTGGTCCTTCGCATCGAGTTCGGGTGGCCCGACGCACAGCTCTTGCAACAGCAGGCGCGGACGTCGGGCGCCGCGCTCGGCGCAGTCGCCCCTGGCGTGACGAGTCTCGCGTCGCGGACATCGCGTCGGACTTCGCCGGGGGTGTTCCGGAGCCCCGGAGCGTTGCAGACATCCAAACATTCTGAGCGCTGGCAGACGTTTGCTGGTGGGAGTTGGATAGGGGTGAAGGGAAAAAACGTGAGGATCTCTGGATTTGATCGATGTCATTGCCTTAAGCGATAATCAAGAAATTGGTGGGTAGCAGGGAGCAGGAGCACTTGCCTTTCCCTCGTTTATCCTAAAGGATGGTTTAGTGGGACATAAATCAGTTTTGGGATTCCACCTCATGAAACATGGGACTCTAAACTCTAAACCTTTTGAGGACCTGGATTCCGCAATTGGGTTGATAGAAGACATGTTTTACTAATTGTTGAAACCCATCAAAACCCGCCGAGTAGTGCATTGGCGAAGCGCCGAGTAGTGCTTTGGCAGGTTGACGACCGGCTGTTGCGCTTGGAGCCAAAGGCCGCGGAGCGCTTCCAAAAGCTCGTGATGGAGCGAGCAGAGCAAGGCGCGGTGCTTGGTCATACGCAGTCTCCTGACCTCCTTTGCGGGGGTCACAAGATTCTGTCGGAAACATAACTGGAACTATTGAAAACGCAGGACGTTTTCCATTTCTCTCTTATGTTGGCATCAGGTGTCCAACTGGAGTTTCACCATTTCGATGGTTTGCTTGTTGGGTTTGACGGGGCTGGAATGCACCACATCAAGCAGAGCATAGGCGCACATGGAGGACTTTCCAGCATCGGACAAGGTTGTGAAGTCTGCACAAAGTCCTTCAAGCTTGGATACACTCCCGCTGACATCGTGGAAAACGATCTGAAATAATCTGTTTGTTTATAAAGAAACATGGTCTTCCGCTTCCAGCCACGCGAGTCGGAGTGTGCAGAATCGCTACCAAACATCCGGGCCCTCCTTTTTTTTGGTGACCACCCTCCTGTCCCAAGTCGTGCTGCACACGTTTTCAACCCATTCGAGTCTGCTGGAAATGAGGGCGATTCCTTCCCAGACTCCAATGCTCATTCCTAGTCTCACTTTGCAAAGATAATATATAAATATACATATAAATATATACATGTCATGTGTATACGTACATAAGAGGCCACAGAGGGCTTGTCATAGTCATCCGCATTGATGGGTTGGGGTCGACCCCATCATCGCTACTAGTAACAAGGGCTACTTGTAGAAGCTACTAGTAACAAGTGCATCGCAACTAGTAACGTCAGACCCGGGAGCCCCGCTGCCCAGGCGCGGCGGGCGGACCGTGCACGTTGGGCGAGGCGCTTCATGGCTGGGCCTTCAGCGGGCGTGATGTGCAGGGCCTGGTGGAGGTCCGGTGGATCGGGTAGAGCGAGGGTTTTGTTGGGCTTGGTGAGCTTCCTATAACTCCTTCATCCACCTGAACTCACCCACTTCAAATCACTCGCCTCATCCTCACACCTCAGCTGGAGGGCCCATCCTTTTGCTGAGCCGAAAGTTAGTCCGGGTTTTGGCAGTTGCTTGAGAGAAGTGGTGCGTTTCTACCGGTGGTGCAGCAACGAAACTCTGTGCTCAGGATTTGAGTCGTCGCATGTCATTTGTGTTCGCTCCAAAAACAGTAAGAGCAACGACATGGTTCCGCATTGTTCAGACAGAATTGACAAACTGTATGACTTGTTGAACCTGTGTTCAAGGCAGTCCAAAGGGCCACGTCACCAGACGACGACAGACGCGACAACAAAGTAATAAGAAAGATGACAAGATCCAGACGATCCAGGACCTAAGGTTGCTCCACCTGGAATTGGAACTGGCAGAAGGAACAGGAAAAAGCTCGTAGCTTCTTGTTTCCAGTAAGGCCAGGAGCCCCGTTCGTAGCGATGCCCTCGCTGCTCGAACTGGTCCTCCTGATGCACCGAAAACACGGAAGGTTGCACACGGTGTCACTGGCAGAAGGAAGACAAACGTGTCACTGCACGTTGCGAATGACAAGCCAACATCCATATACATCCATATACCCTGAAACACGGCAAACCAGCAAGAACTACTGTAAACATTTATGAACAAGCGAACAAGCGAAAAGGAGCAACAAGTAGTGAGTTCTTTCCTACTGGAGGTCAAACGGTATGTTTCTACCGGTAGAGAAGTCATATGTTACTACCGGGGGTGTATGGCACATTCTTTATAACCGCAAAGCAAGGGTTTTCTGCCATTTGCAAGTGGCAAAAACTATTCAAACATCAATTGATCCCGCACAGTGCCGTCAGTATGATGTTTCTATCAGTGTCCGAGGATATGATTGAATCATTTCTGGGGAGAGGTTGCAATCTATCAGTGTTTGCTCTCCACAAGTCTCTCCAAACCTCGAGTGTGTTTGTTCACGTCGCCCTGGGCGAGTGTGTTTGAGAGCACCGACGCTCCAGGAGTTTGCCCGACGCTGGAGCCTTGAAGAAGAGCTTGGGCGGAAAGCCGACAAGGAGGGAAGACTAAGACTGCCAGATCAGGCACCGAAGCTCTAGACCACTCCGGTTCCCTGTTTGGTTTCATGGCACCTTACTCTGAACTCGGCGATTGAGGCCACAGGGTAGGTACCTGCACCAACCGGGTCAAGAACCCATGCGGTGCCAGGTACCGGTCCGAAGGATCGCATCGAATCCATCGGTGAAGCGGCTGGGAGGTGGACGGACCGATTCGCGGCTGGGTGCGGCGGGGGGTCGAAGCGAAGTTCTACGTGATGGTCATTCCCATCACGTGGAGTGGAAAGGAAAAACACCATGCTCACAGCTACGGTATAACTCTTCTCATGTGGTGCTACTCTTCTTCAGCTTGGGAATTCCCTCTTTTTTCAGGAATTTGGAAGCGCCTCCTCTTCTCCAGGAGTGGCTGGACCGTTGGTTCCTTCATCGTGGAGTCGCTTCCTCCTGAGCAGCTCACCAGCCGCGGGCGCGGAGCGAGCAGCGAACTGGCTGACGCGGTGTGCCAGGAACTCGGCTGATGTTGTCTTGTTCTTTGGGTGGCGGGTGTGCAACGAAATGCTGCTACACAAAATACAGAAAAGAACAAGGTCACGCCCGCTGCAACGGCCCCGCGCGATGTGCACGTTTTCACATGCAGCTTCGAGGCATTTTAACAACCCCTCTGGTACTTTATGGCGATGCCTGTTTTAGCTCAGTGTCATTTTGTATGTTTTTTTACACCATATCACGCCTCTCAATTCGTAATTCCATGGTGAATTGACAGTTCGTTCGGGGACCTGGAAGTCAAAAGAACAGGATATTTTCTGTTTTCGGTTGTTTCATAACATTAACACACTTCCACTCTTTCAGTTTTTCAGGCATCCCCATCCCACACCATCCCACCCCACCCCATCCCCAACGTAGTATCAACTTGGTAGCATCATTTTGGTTTGCAAGTGCAAGCGAACGTTAACAGACCCCACCCCACCCCACCCCACCCCATCCCCAACGTAGTATCAACTTGGTAGCATCAACTTGGTTTGCAGTGCAAGCGAACGTTAACACACCCCACCCCACCCCATCCCCACCCCATCCCCAACGTAGTATGAACTTGGTAGCATCAACTTGGTTCGCAAGTTCAAGCGAACGTTAACAAAACCCACCCCACCCCACCCCTCCCACCCCACCCCATACCCAACGTAGCATCAACTTGGCGAATGATAAAAACGTGGAAATTCTCCGAGGTCGTTAGGGGGGGCGTGAGCAAGAACAAACACCAGAAAAAGCAATGAGATCATTCCCAGAGAAACAGTCCAGATTCAGGTGGCTTCGGAGTATGCCTCACAGGTTTGGAGGTGTTCCTTGCAGTATTGCAGACAATTGCACCCACTCAGGTGAATGTTGCTCGTCAGTAGGCAGGACACGTCTTGAATCTATCTCTTCCCTTCTGGAACCACATCATGCCTGGCATTCACTTCCCTTTTTGGAGCTCAAACATGAGCAAACTTTCTCGACCAAGTCTTTTTTGAGTCCTGGGAGTAGCTCCAAACTTGGGAAGCCGGATGCTTTGGCACTGCGATGGCCTCCAACCTACAAGCGATGGCCTCCAACCTAATAGCACACTATATTATATAGACCTTTCTTAGTTTCTATATAATAGCGATGGCCTCCAACCTTGTGGTGACTTCAGGCTTCTCTTCTTAAAGGTGTGATAGGAACGCCCGTTTTGCTATCAAAGGGTTCTGTCGGTTGCGCTCAAATGCCATGTCCAGGTCGAAGAGCACTTTGATCACCGTCAGTGCCACGCTCATGCCAAACGGGCTCCGAGGCAGGCTTGGGAAGAAAGAGTCATCACGAGTCATCATGTTTGAGCAACAGTCGTTCCACTGGGATTTTTTTTTCCAGCTGATGTTGTTTGTTTAAGCATTTAAACAGGAAGATTGGTTCCAGCCAGGTGCTCCAAGGTTCGATTCGTCGATCTGCAAGAACTGGCTTCTTCACTTCAAGAGCCAAAGACACCTCTGATGGCCTCCACCTCGAAGCGACCTCATCAGTGACATATGAGTTCCAGACGTGACAACGATGCTGACATGACAACGATGGCCCTCAGCCTCAGGGGTGGATGCACTCCCTGGCATTTCGTTTGTGGCACGGTCGCCATGATTGTATCGTGACCGATGCCATGATTTTCCTGCAAAGCCAGTCAGAAGGAAGCTGCGAGACCTCCCATCCCGTTGACGGATGTGAAGCATCTCCTGAAGCTGCCAAAGCTAGAGGCTGTGAGAGGAGCTGGAGCTTGTCCCAGTTACTGTCCCATCACAGTGGGCTGTCACAGATCCACAGATGTGTGTTCGTCATGAAGCTAGAGGCTGTGAAGGGTTTTCACAGGAAATAGCTCCAAGCTTCCCGGGGCCTCGGCGTCGAGTGCCACGGGAAGCTTCGGAGGCCCGTGACTGGAACACGGTGGTGCCGGCCGTGAACGTTTTTCGGTGCGTCATGCGCCGAACGAGGCAGAGGCATCAGTTTGCGTTTTGGAGTGAGGGCTGAGAGGGATTGAATTGGGATTGCGCTGCAGGATTGGCCCTATCCAAGCCGGCCAGGTGATGGGGCTATGGCATCCTTGAAGCACAGGCAGGCCAGAAAGGCTGCCAGCCGGCGAGACGTTTGAGTTTGCACGCTGTTTCAACTTGTTGTGGGAATTGGGCTGTGACGCAGTGCCAAGCTACATCAGTAGCCATGCTGGGGAAGTGCCTTCTTTTCGCTTGCTCTGGTTGCCCACCAGCGCGAGACGAAGCGCAAGCGCCCGCTTGCGGGGCGTCTGCCAGTGTTCAGCAGGCTAGTGCTCGCAGCTCCCCGATTCTTGATCTTGAGGCGACTGTGGCGTGTCTTTAGCTCATGAACTTAAAACCATTCCAACAGGAGCAGCAGCGGAGCTAGGCTCCACAGAAGCAGGAAGCATTATGCTTTCGCTCGCATGTTGTATGCGAATGCCCTCATCGGCATAGGAAGCACCTCTTCGGATTCACACAGATCCGCTTCAATGCATACAGAGTTGGTTGGTGGCGCGAGTGTTTTTCAGGATACACGCGGAGAAGCTGCACTTACTGTAGAGCCCACTCTTATATCAGTGCTATGCCTGTCAAGTGCTATGGTTGCTATGGTTGGATGCAGTTGTGATGGTTTAGGCAATTTTTTTGCAGGCGCTGGTTCCATTACTTTGGAGGAAAATCCTTCGCACGAAGCCGGCGCATGGTTGATTCGGTTTTCACAATTGAACTTGAGGCGACTCTGTGGTCTGTGGATCACCGAGAAGGCGACCAAAAAGGGTCGGCGAATGCAGCGCAGAATGGGAGCGAGAAGGGGAGAGCGCACAAAAGAATGTTGTTCCTAGTAGCGTCCTTGCTCTTACTAGTATGGCCAGGAGCCCCTAGTAGCGTCCTTGCTCCTAGTAGCGATGCCCTTTGCTCCTAGTCGCGTCCGATCTTACCATGAGAAGGGGATTTGACTGAGGTACTTCTGACTGTGGATGTTTGGACCTTGTGATGACTGTCATCGACGAGTCGATGAAAAGCCGTCGTCGTCGTCGATGACGTTTCGACCTCAAACGACCGTCGTCGTCGAAGTCGCAGGGCAGCACGACGAACATATTCTGAGGTTCGACGTGCTGGACAAAATCAACGACTGCATGGTTGATGAAAAGTACCTCGGCTGCAAGAATCGTGTGCTTGACTTACCCTGTTTGTCAATAGCCGGGCGATGAAAGCAACAATTCGCAGTGATCGACTGGTAGCAAAGAAATGGCTGGCCCAGCGGCACATGGCAGACACATGATGAACCATGGAATTGAAGCGTCTTTTAAGTTCAGAATTTCCCCGGAACGTTCAATGGTGGAGTCGAGTCCTTTACCCATCGAGGTGTGTCTTCCAACCGGGGGGGAATGGGCCGGGAATGGCGCCATGAACGAAGCCAGGCATGCGCCCTATCAAAACATCCGGATTTGGCATACCGAGGAGCCGAGCACCCTGTATGGGGGTTGCAGAAATGGGAGTGGGAGCCACTGGGAGCATGATCATAGTGAGGAGAGTGGAGTTGGAACACTGTCATGGTAGATCTTTTGGTAGATCAGCAGTTTCTTTTGCCTTTGCAGGCACCAACACCACGAACGATTGCTTCTCTTTGATTTTAGAGACTCATGCAAAGCCTGGCTTCGCCATTGGCCATCCTGAGACTAGTTCAGAGACTCCAAAAAACAGTCCACGCCACGAGTGATTGACCATTGTGGGCTGCAGCGATTGTCCATGTGCGTGGCCAGATTCTAGAAGACCCCTTCGATGATCCAGATGGGTGCGGGAGCCCGTCGGGGAGTTGGCTGAAAGGTCGGCCTTCCCAAAGTCGGGGTCCAAGCATTCTGACTCAATTCTTCATTTCCATTGCCAAGACTACCCCAAACCTGGTTAGTGACTTCATAGTAAATCCCCATAGCAGACTTGCTCAGCCTGCTTTCCTCTTGTTTCTTTCATCTCGAAGACGAGCAGCGTCGTTCGATGCCCGTCGAACTCCGGCAGTGTCGACTCGGCCTCTCACTCGCCCAGCCGAGGCTGGCGGAGTTGATCCCGCCCAAGAGCCCTGAGGTGGTCCAAGACGAGGTGCAGCTCTCGAAGCTGACGGGTTTCTTAGGGCATCATGAGACTCATGATGGAACCCATCAACTATTTGATGCAGAGACCATGATTTTCATTTGATGTCCATTTAAATAACCTATATACTGTATACTACTAGGAGGTCTCCCATCAACAACCCAATGTGGAAGCTGTATTATCATGTTGTGATATTTGGGTTCCACGCGCGTTCTTTGATCAAGCTAATTGGCCTACTAATTTAGCGGATCAAATGGACAAATTCGATGTCTATGAATTGCATGGACCAATCAACATGATGAGAAAGCAATCCCCCTCCCCGCATTCCCAATGGCTTCATGCCCTCTCGGAGAGACCAGCTTGCACCATGTGCGAGACCGGTCTCCTCCCGAGAGCGAGAGCGTTTTCGCGCGCCGAAAAGACGCGTTTCGCCACGCGGGACTGTGGGGCAGGTTCTCAAGACCATTGAGAATGAGGAGGACGAGTCAGAGCTGCAGGACGGACTCCGCCGCATGGGTGACCGGTGGAGCCGGCACCGGAGCGGTTTTTGGCTGGTGGCTTGGTGTGGGGCGTTCAAGTCTTATTTTGATTAGCTCAGGTGGGCCTTGGCTGTTTCTTGAGAGTCTGGAGCTGCGAAGATTGAAGATTGAAGAGATGGCACAGAGAGAGAGAGAGAGAGGGCGAACGAAGGAATTCTGAGAGAGTGAAGTTGAACATATTGGTGCAACGGAGATTTTGACGAATTATGCTTGAAGAACTATGCGTTGCCCGGACTCGGATGTGTCCGTTTGTCGCCATGTTCGAGAGTGGAAGAACTATATAAGAAGGCTTCTGGGAAGGTTGACCTAGCATCAGGAGCATGTCTCCGGCTGAATCAGACATCGGCTGATTCACTTGGTTCAGTGGTAGACACTGACACTCCCAAGCATTGCCTTTTGCGATCCTTTTGCCAGAGGAACGCATGGCGAAGACCTTGGCCAAGAGCCAGGCGGGCAATGGGGATCAGGGAGAGTACCTCTTGGGGGGCCAAATCTTTTTCGGAATCACCAAGGGTCGATGTGAGGCAGGATCTGAGGAGCCACCCAAAAGCTGATCTTTCCTTCTCAGGAACGATAAGGGATCTGTATGGGTCTAGAGATCTGGTCCAGTTCTGGGGTGAGGCAGCAGGAAGAAGGGTTGAGATGACATCTATTTCGAAAGGACCCGGGCGTTCGACTTGACCTGCCGCAAACGCGGCGCAACACAGACCATACGATACAACGCACCTTATTATAGAATGTCAGAATAACCATGCTAAATTGATCTAAGATGTACAGTATTGCTATCAGTCAGAACGACCACTTCCTTGACCATTCTTGTGGAGATTTTAGATTGGTTACCCTGGGAGTGAACAGTTAGCTACAATGAGTTGGAACAGCGCAAGCAATCAAGCTGAACATCGACTTCTATTGAAGCCCGGTTTCTCATCCAGGATGTCCATCCTACTGCTGTTCTCATCCAGGATGTCCAATGCAGTACTTGACATGTCTACCTCTTCAACGACCAGGGATTTCAAGCACAGCCAAGAGAGGTTAAGTGACCGGACCCTACTGGGGTACCTATGGGATAGTCTATAGGGTTCTTCAATCTCTGTTGCAAACTCTGATTTCCAGACTTAGCTCATCGGATGCCACGAACGCTGCGTGGATGCCACGAACATCCGCCTCCGACGCGCGCGCCACGAGCGAGGCCACCAGCTTGGAGCTGCTCCACGACCTGCCCGACGCCGACATTGCGCCGCCGGAGCCGCCGGGGGGGAGAAAGGGACAGATGTTACTAGTTAGGAGCGATGCACTTAGTAGCGATGTCACGAAAGCTAGCACCAGCTAGCTGGAGTTGTTCTTGCTTTAGCAAGTGGGGGGTGGAATCCTCGAGAGCGCTGCATAGCATGAACACTTCATGTGTACGAGCCCCCCTGCCCCGCGGGTTCAACTTCTGCCTGGGACGTCTCTGGGACGTGTGCATTTGCATGCTCACCCCCACCCTGCTAGCTTTCACCCTCGGCCTCAAGTAGCGATTCCCTTTTATGGTGTTTATTTGCTTTTTTCTTCACATTTCTGGGTGTCTTGAAAAAACTCAGACTGTCAAGTGAGACTCAGACTCGAATTTCTTAAGCAGGTATTCCCTGCAAGAAACTACTGTTCGCCCGGGCCCTAACTATATAATATACTCTGTTTGTTGGGGTCAACTTGAGGTCTTTTGGATGGAGAATCCAACCCGGGAAGCCAAGATCCCGTCTCCCGCGCAGGACACGGACCTCTTCGTGGCGAAGCTCAATCCCGTCACGCAGGACCGGCGAGTTGGAGTTCTTTTTTTGGATGAGACAGGGTCTTTGTGGGTCAAGGTAAGGAGATGCAGGGAGTTTTTTTGTTTTATTTTTATTGTTTTTCAGCTGTTTTCTCAAAAGTGAGAGGCCGGGCAGGCTGGGCAGGCCCCCGTCTTTTCGCCCTTTATATATATAGTATATATTCTTGCGGACCGAGACTTCTTGATGTCTGGATGTTTGTTGATGGACATTGACCCGATTGATTGACCTGCACGGTATCTTCACCGTGCAGAGTGTGGAGCTTTTACTTGCCAAAGCTCGTGGCACGCTGGTGTCGTGTAGGAGGGTAGGTGGCAAGGCCTGAACATCGTAGTTGCAAGGCTTTGGCAAAGCTCAATGCTCTTTGACCTAGCAGGACGGTGATTTGGAGCTCATTTTCTCACGTCAGTGCCCCAGAAGTTCTGCACAAGGGGCAGCAGCTTGCAACGATTGGAGCCCTCTCCGGGCTCGTGATCCCCCGGAACCACACTCGCGGTGGTCTTGTTGGACCCACCGAGCGGCTTGAGTGGGACTAGCAGCTAGCAGGATTGGTATGTTTCTTCCATTCACTTTAGACCAGACACCATGTTTTTCATGTTCCATTTTTCTCATGTCTCATGTCCGAAAAAGGACCCGTACGCGCCGTTGTTTTCAAACGGGACGATCTGGAAACGGTATCAGCTGCATCTGTTCGGATCGACAGAACTCGGATCTCAAGTGAACGACCTGCGGTTCCCAGGCTTTGGACCCATCAAGAGCTGTGAGATCGTGCGCGACTGGAAGCGTGGAAGCCCGATGGATCCATCCGTAAAGACGGACGGCTGGATGGTCTGACGACTGGTGGGTCCATGCTGACAGATGGAAGATGCAAGATCAGTCATTAAGCAACCCAGCACAGAGGAAATCTTGGGGGGGCCATATGAGGCCATATGTATACATATATAGCCAGAAAAAAAAATATATATATACATATTTGTAGAGTACTCCGAACTCACAAGCGAGCACTGCAAGCAGGTCTTCCAACTGGAAGCTTGGGATTCCAGGAGCTCTATATAGATCTCTAGATTTTGGCTCTTGTGACTCAGAAATTTGGAGGACAATCTTGAAGTAACATGAACCACTCAGTTGCAGAAGCACCGCACCAAAGCAGCAGCAGCAGCACTTCTCTGAGACGGCACGACTACAGCAGCAGTTACAAGTTCAAGTTCACTGCGAGACTGACGATGAAAAAGACCTGCTGTGCAGATGCTGAACCAGAAGACACTTTCATCCCAATTGCAAAGGCCGACAAAAGGTAAGATGACCGTCGCAAGCGTTTTTGAGACATCTCTCGGCACCA